ATAGTCCTCGCTCCTCTTTTTGCCTTCCTTTTGAAGGTCCTCTTTTTTCTTTTTGTCGAGATCTCCTTTTATTCTTTATCTAGCGGTGTCCTTCACTGAATCCCTCGATACTCAGGTCCCTGTTCTTCAGGTCCCTGTTCTTCAGGACCCTGTTCGGGCGCCACTTGTCGCGACCCCAAGGTGGCGGCCCCACTTGGACCTGACGGTTTCCTCCCCTTCGTTGAACTAGGGTCAGGTGTGGACTTTGTGTGGGGCGTGGCCAGCCCTGCCAGCTGAGGTACCCCTAAAGAAGGGTCGAGCCCCCTCACGGAGAGGTGTGATGCACACTTGCTGGCTGGGTCTTGTTACTCTTAGTCCCTTTTAATTCGTTTTTGCTTTTCCCCACTCCTCTAAACTGCATTCTGAAAGTTCATCCTGTGTCTGCTCTTGCTTTGCCCGTTGGTCTCCCTTGAAACCCAATCCTCAGCCCTTTCCTTCACAGTCACGCGCAGGTCCCTCTTGTCTTGTAAGGTGGCTGCTGTGCCCCTCTGCCTCAGTGGCCCCTCGAGCCTTGTGTGGTGTCTGGCACTTGCTGAGATGTGCTGAAGGGTGCACTCAATCTGGGTGCATCCTAAGGGGGTTTCATCCGTCCCTCCGTCGTGAGCCTGGTGGATGTGGGCAGCCTCCAACAGCTTGTTCAGGCTCCTTCCAAAAGGCAGTAGGAGGCCCTGTGCTGTACAGTGGCCAGACCAGAAGTGGCCAACAAGCAGAGGCTGATTTCCTCAAAAAGCGCACCAGCTTGGAAGTGAAGACCATGGGCGAAGGCAGTCTCAGTTCTGGGGGCCTGTTCCCCGCCCCCACATGCAGGTGTTGACAGGAACATGGTCCAAGAGGGCCGAGGTAGGTGCCCTGGCCCTGCAGCTGACTCAGGAGCCCAGCAGAACTCATCTCCCTGGTCAGAGATTCTCCTGACTGAGGGGCCTCGCTCTCCTGCCATTGGGCCTTCCTGAAAGATGAAGCCATCCCTAGAGGTACTGGGAACCCAAGACCCCACAACAGGGTAAGCAGAGCTGGAGGGCAGGAGCAAAGCACTGTCACTGGTCGGGAGCGCCCGTCTCTACCACTATCAGTGTGCCATCGTCCTCTGCCATTCCCCTCCCCCAAAACTACAAGGTTCCCAAGGTGGAGCCTGGATCTGACCTGTCCCTAGTGCCCAGCTCAGGCCCGACAGGAAGTCAGCCTTGCTGAGTGCTCAAGAAACGGACAAGTCACATGGAGATCTGCTCTCAAGAGTCTCAGCCCTGGGCTGCTGGCTGGGGAGCACCTGCACACCCTCCTTGCTCCCCACTTGCCTGCCTGAGGGCCGTGGTGGCTGCCCCAACGGGTCAGGCCAAGTCTGAACACATGGACGCAGCCCTGCACCCCGCTTTTCCAGCGAGCAGCCTGGGCCCTCTGCTCAGTGAGGGAGCACAGCTTTCCATTTACTCAGCTCATCTACCTTCAATGCGACCATTCCACAGGTGCAAAAGAGGAAGGCTCGATAGGCTCCAGGGGGTGATAAGCTTCCGCTCAATGTTAAATGGCGGCAGTGGGACAGAGCCACTACCAGCCCTTGGACCTCCACCTTGTCCACGGCACTGGGCGTCTTCCACTTGCCAGACACAAAACTATGTCAGGGTGTCAAGGAAGAAAGAGGCGGGCATGGCCCACCCTTCTCAGCCCCTACACTGAGGGCAGGGCTCAGGCCTAGAGCCTTCAGTCTTGTTTGGGTCCCCAGAGGAAGTTACTTTCACTAAAATAACCCCGAACCAAGCTGTGTGTAATGGCACCTGTAATCCCAGCCCTACAAGACTGAGGCAGGAGGATCAGAAGGGACCCAGCCTAAGTCCCCACTGAGGGACTTAGCAAGATGGTGTGTCAAAATAAAAGGTGTAAGAAAATCGTGACCCAGAACTCCAGGCTGGCGCTCAGTGGGATATTCACATCAGAAATGAAATGTTCTGAGAGGTCCAGTTCCTGCCAAACCCTCATCCTCTTTAGCCACACCCTGAGCTGGGGTGGGCTGGCCCGGCTCGGCCTCCACACCTCTCCTGGGGCTGCTGCAGGCACCAGGTACCAGCCCAGTGCCTGGCAGGTCAACGCCACACGAGTGTTGGCTGTCACTAAAACCAACTGGGATGAGGCAGTGGCAGAACTTGCTTGCTCCCCTGGGCTTCTGAGGAGTCTCCTCACTCCAGCTCCCTTCTCACAGAGCCTTGTTACAGGCATGTACTTTCCCCAGAGGGGTATGTTGGGGACTTAACCTCTAGTAACTCAAGAGTCTAATTTTACCTGAAAGTAGGCTCTTCATAGCAGTAATGCAATTGAAACGATTTCATTAGCTCGGGCTCTATTTCACTATGGCCAGTATCCTTATGAAAAGGGGAAGTCTGTACCAGGTATGTCTGTAATCCCAGCCAGTCAGGGGGCTGAGGCAGGAGGATCGCGAGTTTGAGGCCAGTCTGGGCAACTTAGCAAGACCTTGTCTCAAAATGTATAAAACAGCTAGGAATGAGCTGGGCATAGAGACACATGCCTCAGCACTGGGGAGGCTGAAGCAGGAACATCGCCATGAGTTTGAGGCCAGCCTGGGCTACGTAGTGAGTTCCAAGCCAGCCTAAACTACCTAGTGAGACCTGTCCCAGTCAGTCAATAAATGGGCTGGGGGTGTAGCTCAGTGGTAGAGCACTTGCCTAGAATATACAAAGCCCAGGGTTCATTTCCAGCACTGCAGGGAGGAAAATGATGGAGGAGAATCCCACTGACAGATTCAGAGGGCAGCTGTGTGAAGACACACAGAACACCACGTGGGGATGGAGACAGATGGCGGCTCAGCCACCACAAGCCATGAGGCAGGCCACCAAGTGGCTGGAAGGACCCAGAAAGCATCCTTCTACTCGGATTTCACACAATGGCCCTCAACACCTTGATTTACAACCTCCCAATCAGGCAGACAGATTTCCGTCTGTCCGTCGTTGTGTCACCAGGTTTGTGGTACTTGGTTGTGGCAACCCAAGGGAGTAATACAAACACCACCGAACGGCCTCAGGCACCTCCAATCTCCTAAACATAGCTCCCAGGGGAGGCAGAGCCCCATGCCTGTCTTCTCCACTCTTAGCTTCCCCGCAAGGCCCAGCTGTGGAACCCATGTCCTGTACACCCTACAAATGAGTTCAAGCTGAGTCAGGACGTAAATGTCAAGTGAGGGCCAATGAGGTCAAGGTTGGGAGGGGAGTAGCTGAGTCCACACCAAGCCAGCAGAAACATAACTGACGTTAAGGACTGCGCTAGGACCAGGGTGCTATGGCTTAGCGGAAAGGCCACTGTCTTGTGACAAAGTGGCACATAATCATTTCCTTTGGAGGTGAGGGGATGTCGTGGAGAGACATAGTAGTGCCATGGGCCATTGCTCAGCTCTAGGGCCCATGAGTTGGACGTGAAATCAGAGCCCTGCTGTCAGAGCTGCAATACCTGAACCCCCAACATGGGCCAAACTTGCCAGTTCCTCACGGCCTTCCCTTGACTGAGGTCCTCCTGGTCCCTGGCCTGGATGCTGGTGTCCGTTTGGCCTTCCTGGCAGCCCAATCTGGGCAGGCTTCAAAGACAGCAACTGCAGCCTTCACACGCTGGCCCCGGGCACTGGGAGGGGTGGCACAGGTGGCCCCCACCCTCAGGTTCAGCCCAGTGAGCCACCTGAGGAAGAAAGAGCTCAGGGAGCACACGGTCCAACCTTCCCGAGGGGAGTAGGGGCGTGATCGGGAGTTTGGGGACGGGGACTAGCGGGGAGCAGGTGCTGCTCAGAGTCCTGGCTCTGCGGCTCACCAGTTAAGTGGCTTCTAAGTCACTTCAAGCCTCAGATCCTTTCTCTATGAAAAGGGAATAAGAATAGTGACAGGAGCAGGGCATGTTGGCACAGGCCTGCAACCCCCACCACTCAGAAGGCTGAGGCAGGACAACTGCAAGGCCAGCCTGAGCAACTGAGCAAGATCCTGTCTCAAAAACAAAATAGGGTTGGGGGTGTAGCTTAGCAGTAGAGTGCTTACTGAGTAAGCACAGGTCCTAGGCTCAATCCCTAGCACTGCCAAAAGAAAAAGTCAGATGTGGCACTGACGGCTTGGCTGGGAGGTGGGCATGCCCCTACCTGTGCAGTGGGAGCAGCTGGCAGTCACAGTGGAAGGGGTTGCCACTGAGGTCGATGAGCTCAAGCCCAATGAGACGGGGCAGGGCAGGCAGGGCCCGAAGTTCGTTCTTCTGCAAGTGCAGGCTCTGCAGCCCTGGCCCCAGGCCAGAGAAGGCCCCAGGAGAAATCTGCAAGGAGGTGCCCGGCCCTGGTGTGAGTTCCTACCAGTCCTGTGCCACTTTCGGTCTGCAGAGGGGAAGCTGGAGAGCCCAAGGTAGATGGGATAGGAGGGGGATCTTGGGGCTCAAAACCCAGGTGGGTCTCATGTCCAAGTTACCCAGAGGCCGTGGTTCTTTCTGCTATACCCAAACCCCACCCCCTTAACAAGCCTCTTGGGAGCTCTTGACACTAGGTAACACCTCTGACCCAACTTCCTCCCTTATGATTCCACCTGGCCTGTCACCCACATCTAGGCTCCATAAGGGCAGGGGACATGTTTATCCCTGGGTTCCCATGCCTAGCCTAAAACCTGGCACTCAGGGTGACAGAGGCTTGCTGAGTAAAGGTATGTTTGTGTTCAGCCTCGTGCTGTGTCCCCCACCACACACCAGGTGCCCACCTGTTCCAAGCCACTGCTGTTCAAGAAGAGGTGCTGCAGTGACCGCCCCATGGGCCGGAAGTCCCCATCATGCAGGGCCCGGAGTGGGTTTCCTGAGAGCTGCAGCTCCTGCAGGGCAGGCAGCCCTTCCAGGGCCCCCGTGGGCACCTCTCGAAGCTGGTTCCTGTCTAGGTACAGCTTCTCCAGCTCACGAGCCGTCCCAAGCGCCCCAGGGGACACCTGAGTGATGCGATTTCTGCCCAGATAGAGCCAGCGCAAGGCCCGCACGCCTGCCAGGTCCCCAGGGCCCAGGCGCTCCAGGGCATTGTCCTGCAGGTGCAGGGACACGAGGCTGGGCAGGGCGCGCAGGGCAGCGCCTGGCACCTGCAGGAAGCGGTTGCGCTCCAGGTACAGGTAGCCCAGGTGGGGGGCCCCTTGGAGGGCTGCAGCGCTGAGGCCAGAGAGCTGGTTGTCAGACAGATAGAGGTAGAGGAGGCGGTCCAACCCCGTCAGGGCACCCGACTCCAGCTCCGCGATGCCGCAATGCTGTAGGTGCAGCGACATCAGGTGGCTCAGGCCTGGAAAGGCCTCCCGGGGCACCGAGGGGAAGTGATTGCGACGCAGGTCCAGCAGCTGGGTGTCGTTTGGGAAGCCGCGGGGCACCGCCTGCAACCTGCGGCCCTCGCAGCTGCTGTGCCGGGAGCCCGGGGCACACACGCA